AGGAGCGCTTGCGATTAAGTGTACGTAAGTCTCTCACCGACACGGCGAGAAGACAGCATGCCTCCTTTCTTTTTCAGCCTTACCAATAAAAGACGCGACTCCTACTACACCCGAATCCCGCAACTTCGGAAGGTCGCGGAATTATCAACCGTGCTGCAAGCCGGACAAACGTACAGCTCGATCGGTCTACCGACGAGATCGAGCCAGAATCAGGACAACCATAAGGCCGAGGTCTCTACGTCCTGGAAGATTGGATTGGATTGGATTGAATTTGAATCTGACCACAACACGGACATAAAAAATTAAGTGCACGCGATGGCATCACGGTAGGCAAAATCAAAGTTCAGAATGAATGCAAATACTCGAATTTTGTGAAAACCGTTTTCATTTTTATCAGCCAAATTTTGAGAATGTTGAACGAGCATTTACAGCACGTGGTATTTTGCATGTTCTTGGTTTTCGGGTATATAGCTTTTAGAGTTGATGGCATAGGGCACGCCACCCTTGTGAAACCCGTCAACACTGGGTCTAAGGTTCAGTCGCACGCGGTCGTCGCGTCGCAATTGCTTGAGGTACTCATCCAGATGCCGCTTAAATGCAGCGCCGGTCACTTCAACTACAGTCGCTGGAAGTAACTACAGAGCGCCGTTGATCTCCGCGAGAATTGATAGTCGTGAGGTTAACGGACTGATTTTTCAGCATGATGAGGTGGTGTCCCCATGCGTCGATTTGTCCGTAGCGGGAGCGCTGCCGTAACTCGGCTCTCATGTCATCCCTCACGAGCTTCCTCAGTTCAGGGCCCCGTCCATGAGCAGGTACGCAACTGAGAATAAACCAATGACCTGTAAACGACGTTTATAGCTTGTACCAGGTAGTCTAACAGCTGGTACACACTCTAACTAGGCCAGTTCACTGCGGCCATCGCCTTTATGAAGTCTCGTTCTGGTCTCAGAGACGCATTTAGTGTTTAGACTAATGATGTCCACGAATACTTTCGTCGATCGACGGACGACGGAACGAATCAAAGAGAAGACGACTGATAGCACAAAACCTCAACGACGGTTGCATTGGAGTGATCTGTAGAACAGAGAGCAAAGCGTACAGATGAGTAATCGTTTGGGAAGTGAGTCAACGTGCCGTGACTTAATAAGTGGTCTTGATTCAGTAAAACTACAAGGTCCGAATATAGGGAAGGTACAGTTGCGAAGAGAGTTTTTGTTGTCACTACACTTAAGTTAATTTGAAGGCGTTCATCGTAATTTGAGCAAAAGATCTCTGAATGTGTACCAGAATGCTGCAGGCATTGGCGCCAACCCGCTCGGTGTTCTCAGATGCTCAGTGATGACATCGCCATAACTTCCAGGTATATTTCGCACGATGTCTTGCGCACTGTTCTTCTTTGGAAGCTCCACCGCATGTTCCAAGACTTCGAGTTCTGAGTCTGATGGTTATCCTGGTTCTGGTTCGACCTCGTCGACTGACCGATCGACCTTTGCATGCGTCCTGCTTGCAGTAGGGTTGGTAGTTCTGCAAACCTCCGAGGATTCGAAATTCAGATGTACTACTGGTCCCGCCTGTTTCGACAATGCGGAAAATGAGAGAGCATATTGTCTTCTCGCTTGTCAGCTTTCGTAGATGACTGGATGAAGCTTTGTTGAAGGCCTTGCTGAAGTGGTGGTGATGCAGTGGTTTAGTTGCGGCCACCGGCGTAACCTAGCGGGACCTGATGTGGTTTGACACTCGAAGCCTTGGGGACTTTCCCCGTTTGCTGTGCATCACACCATGTTGTTTAATCAAACAATTGTATTGGCACTGTGCAGTCGATCATCATTCAGTGAGCTGCTCTGAATACAACAGAAGCGGTAGGCTTTAATCAACTGGACAGTGGAGTATACTGCTGCAGTCGGAAAGAGGGTGCGTATGAATGCACGTAATATACAACGAGTAATACAAGAATTGGTAAATAAACTGAAGTTGCAATACACGACATTTATCCTCACCAGCAAGTGAATAATAGCAATAGCGTGGCGGATAGAACATTTCATGATTTCTTAGGGTTCCTAGGTGTGCGTCTGTGTAAGAGTTTGTTAGCGATCGGATATAGAAGAATGCCATGTGCATGTGCATGACCATCGTAAAGCGAAATACAGTAAAGAGAAATTCACTGATCGCTGCCAAACTCGCAATGCATATAAGATTAGTGATACAATTAGGGTGGACAGGGATTGGAACTACTTTGAAGGAGGGAGAAGAAGATGAACCAATATGGTCAACACAAAGTACACAAATAAACTCTGCATATATACCGTTTCAAGCGTACTGGCATGATAAGAAATGACAACAAGAACGCAACTGCTGTCGGTTTGGTGCCATATCCTTCAATGTCTCCAACCAACCAGTTGTGGAGTCTTTCAGACCCAACCTGGAAGGCGGGAGACACCTACTCTACCTAATGAATGCATTTTTTCATGCCTCGTCTACACGTCATCTGTAGACCTCTACGTGGTTTCCTCTAGCCCGGATTAGCTATAGCGAATAACGCGCAGTGCGGCATACGATGGCTGGGCATACGCAATACGTGCCCTAGCCAGCGAAGCCTACTAATCTGAATTCGGTGTGCCAGCAGGNGGGTCGTAATTTGCCGAAGTTGGAGAAGCGTGGAATATAAGATACATGTCTTAAAGAACGATCCCCGTGAAGTTTGAAATAGACGTGGAAACATCACTCCATTCTCTCGATGAATGAAACCTGCGATTGGGCATACCTCTTCTATTGTACTCAGAGCATCTCACTAATTGATGACCTACTATGATTTAACCAACTGAATTTATGAAATGGACAAATAACTGCAACCTGAGCGATTCGACACCGATCCCCCACTTTTTGATGCGAACCCTACTAATCTGAATTCGGTGTGCCAGCAGGTTTATCCCTGATAGACTCCCAAACACGGCGGCTCACCTCCACCTTACTAACCCGGTCGCTCCATTCCACGCAGGCTAAACAGCGTAAACACCGATAATCGGAAACCTCTAATCGATTGATATCTTCTACTCGCAAATCCAGGGTCTCATAACCATAAAGCAGAACTACTTTTTTACTTTTGATCGACTAACTCCTGCCGGAGGATAAGTCGGCTTCCTGGATGTCTCTAATAATGGCGGCCCATGCATGACGATCGGTAGCAAGGATGGCGCAGTGAGAAACCCAGTTCTGGTTTCAGTTGCTAATTCCATATACGGATTGAAGACCCAGTGATTCCAAATCCGCCTTGATCGTGCTACTCCAGGTTTTCAGTTGACCACCGAGTCGGCAACGCCATCCACGGAACGGCGCGGGGGCTACAGCCTTTCGCGAGCATTGGGTGTCGGGCCTTCGGAGCACTGAAGGTGCCCGCGTTGTAGCAATTTTGAAAGCTTGTGTATGTTCAAGCAGCGCCGTCAAACCTCATCATTAAAAATCTCTCCAGTTTGCTTTCAAGATGCGGCATAAGTACCAATGCTCAAAGACTTCGAGCTTCCTTGTATCTTGTACTCTTAGCGGCCAGGTTTCCCAACCATAAGTGAGGATGGTGTGGATCGGAGCCTGATAAACCCGAAGCTTAGTGTGTAAACTTATTTCACATCGATTCCACAACGGTTTGAAGAGTTGTAAGAAAGTGCTTCTAGCTCCATCTATACGGAGTTTGATTTCGTCGTTAGCCGGGCCGTTTGGATTTATCGTAGGGCCAAGATGTTTGACAACTTTGGTTGATTCGACAGGTTCTCCTTTAATCAAAAGGGGTTGTGTCTTGGTAGAAGTTTCGGCCGAAAATGTTCGTTTTCGACGAGTTAATCTCTAGCCCAATGGACTGGGCAAACCGATTCATACGACTGACAATAGGCCGGAGGTTGTCCATGATGTCTCCAAGTACAGCGACATCATCCGCAAACTCGAGGTTCGCAATCCATGTACCTGGGCCAAGCTGCGCGCCAGGATAGTCGACGAGTGCTGGTCGCATTATCCAATCTACGGTGTAATTGAATAACAGCGGCGATTGGGGACAACTTTGCCCAACTCCAGAACTTAGGTTAAACAGCCGATTCTTCTCCGTAGGTATGGACGCGTGCCCGGGTTCCTGAGTAGTGACTTTAAAAGCTTGATAAACTTCTCAGGCATCCCATCGGACCGCATTATGCACCACAATGATTCTCTATCGGCAGTCAAACGCAGCGCAGAAGTCAATGAAACATGCAGTGGTAGGCTGTTGGAACTTGTAGCGGTGTCCCACAATTCTACGGAGAGTGAAGATTTGTTCAACACAGCCTTTTCCGCGGCGAAACCCCCCTTGGTTCCGGCGAGTGTGTGTATCCCTGACGACTGCGAAGCGATTAAGCAGTATTACTACAAACAATTTGGCCGCATTATCAATCAGGCTAATATCCCTGCAGTTTTCGCATCTAGATCTGTCGCCCTCTTTTGGGACCGGGACTAAAATCGAAGCCGTCCAGTCTTTTGGAAAAACTTCTCTTTCCCAAATGGTATGGAAAAGAGAGTGCAGTGGATCGATCAGAGTCGGTAAGCAAGCTTTAAATAACTCTGGTGATATTCCGTCTTCTCCAGGGGCCTTCCTGTTTTTCAGAGAAGTGACTGCATTGATAATTTCTGTGTTGCTAGGTGGTTCGCAATTGATGTCGTAAGTCTTCGAACTGCTTGACATCTGTAGAGAGCTAGCTTGGTTTGATGGCCGGTTGAGCAGCCCGTCGAAGTGTTCAACCCACCTTTGCATTTTTTGCTCGGTTCCCTGAGTAAGTTGGTCTGTGATGCTGCGCAACAGTGGTTCCGATGTCTGCCTCTCCTCCTGCGACACGAATTAGACGGAATAGCTTTCCAAAGTCCGCTGCGACGGATGCAGCCTGCATACTGTCTGCAATCGCCTTCCAGTATTGTTTGCGGTCGCTCTTGGCGGAGCGTGTGGCTTGGCGACGGAGAATACGAAATTCAGGAGAATTGATCAGCCGCGCATCTCTTTTCTTTGCGGACAACTGCATTGCACGCTCGGAGATGCAGTCTCTCTTGTGGCGAAGAATCTCACGTAACTGCCCCAGCGCCGCTTCTCTGATGGACGTTTTCAGTGTAGACCACTGTGCGTCGATAGTTGAGTCATTAAAGAAAATTTCGGCTATGTTGGAGGCGGTTGCGTCCAGCAGTGCCTGCCTTCTCGCAGGTCGTTCCAAGAGCGCGACGTTGAATTTGACCAGGAGATGAGTCTTCCGGCGAGTAGTCAGGTGCATCTTGAAGCGGGCGCGTACAAGGGTATGGCCTCTGCCGTTCCTGTTTCCAGTTTCTGCGCCGCAACAGCAACGGCAGTCTTCTACCGAAGAGGCCCAGCGAGCACGCACCAAAATATAATCAATCTGGTGTGCCGTTGGACCATCGTTTAAGTACCACGCGAGCAGTTGTTTTCTGGGGTGCTGAAAACGGGTGTTGGCCACGACCAGCCGGTTATGGTCAGCAAATGTGACTAAGCGTTCACCATTTTCGCAACGTTGACCAAGGCTGAACTTTCCCAGAACATGCTGAGTGTGTTCGTCTGATGGACCAATGCGTGCGTTCCAGTCCCCTGCGATAACGAGGATGTCGCGTCTCGGACCGCGGTTCACTGAACTTGGTTGTAGCAGTCGTCTTTGATGGACTCTTCCGCACGTAACGTTGGAGCGAATACAGCGATGACTGTCAGGTTAAACAGCTTTCCTCTGAAGCGCGCTATGGCAATCCTGGGAGAGATTGGTTCCTAGGAGATCATAGCATTATTGGTCCGGCCGCTCACGGCGACTGCTACCCCGTACAGACCGGAGTTGTCAGTTGAGCCGCTGTGGTATAACCGGTAGGTTGCGTTGCTATGTGGTACGTTGATTAGTTTTGTGCCACAGTTAGGTAGTCGGACTTCGGACAGACAACAGGTGTCTTCCTTGTAGTCGTGCAGTGAACGCATCGTGATACACTGGCTTCCTAGCAATGGTTTAACATTCCAGCAGGCTACATGGATGCTGGATCTGGTGCATAGATGATTTTGGTTCCCAGCTTGCTCATTTGTCATCCCAGCCACTGGGAGAGCGCAGGGCGCGTCGCTTCCCGGGAACACCGTAGCATGAACGTGATGTACCATTGTAAGACAATCCATGAAGAAACTTGGGAATGAGGTACTAAGTGACGTCCCCAGCGTCGCTCTGCTTTTATTCGAGGGTGCACCTCTAACCATTACACAAACAAGTGCGACCTGCAGGGTAACAGGGTAGAATTGTTGGTAGCCGGTGACCGTTAGAACGGTTTATACGCCTTTCGGATGGCTCTGCGCCAGTCCAGGATTCCCAACGTGTCCGTGAGGTAGCATTCCTCAGTTTGTCGTACTCGTAAAAGTAGGCCAGTAGCAATGGCCTTATTTGCTGGCGGGCCAAATTCGCACAGGTCGCGATGCTGTCAGCAGACACTTATGGCATTTGAACGGGATATCAGTTGCCATCCGAAACCCTACCGCGTCCTCTAGCATCGCCGCTGATCGTCCGCGACCAATTCAGTGAGGGGCCCCACCTATTCACGGTTAACCACCAAGTTGGCCGTTCTCCTATCCACGACCTGGAGACGCGCTCGGTAGCACTCAGCTGTGCTATTTGTAGACAGTTCAGTGCCTACACGCCGAGCAGAAATGAACGAACGCTAGCGCAGTGTACACGATTTTTCAACTTCAGTGAAACGTCGCGTCTACGCCAAAAGTGTTTCAATCTTTCGTATGCTGCTCAAGCCCTGAAAATGCGGGCGGTCATCTCCTTTGTTGCGCTACCGTCATTGGTCACCCAGCTACCTAAGTCGGAAAAGCAATCCACCGTAAATAATCCCTGGCCATTTAGTTTCAGAGTGGGAGTATGCGAATCCCGGTTCTGCAGCAGCACTTTGAAGGTGCAAAGCACATACCGAATGTGGCAACTGCACTTGTTAGTCTATCAAGTGCACTTTGCGCGTCCTCCATACATTGGAACAGACAGACGCCATCATCGGCGTACTCCAGATCGCACAGTTTTTCTACAGCTGTCTATTCAGTAAATACGTTTTGGAGACCACTGAATGCGTTCTCCAGTATTTCGTCTACGACGAAATTAAACGGGAAAAGTGAAAGCGAGCGCCCTTGACGAACACCGCTGCTGGGGACGAGTGGTCTACTTATTTCATCATAGACACTTACACGATCAGAGGTGCGCGAGTACAGTTAACGTACTGCTGAGTCATTCCTTTTCGAAGAAGGGAGCCCATCAGAGCTTCGTGATCAGCTGAGTCGAGGGCTCCTTTGAGGTCGAGGAACATTGCGATCGTTGGTCGGTGGTGTGTGTGTGTGTGTGTGTGACGCAACTCAAGGACCTAACGCAACGTAAAAATTTGATCATTACATTCACGATCAGGCCGAGGTGTGGCTTGCTGTTCATGGATGTTGATCTCTCTTAAAGGAGTCAAACGTCGAAGTATGACCGAGGCTAGCACTTTGGTGACGACCAGGATCAAACTGATCCTGCGGTGGTTTTCGCAGTCGTTGCAAGATCCTTTCTTTAAAATGGGATCGATCAGTGATTCCTCCTAAGATGAAGAAATGCGCTCTTGCGTCCAAATGTTGCGCAGTAAGGTAGTACTATAACTTACGAGGTTATCACTCCCCATCTTGAAAAGAGTGAGAGGGAGCTCATCTGAATGAGACAATCTGGTTAGCGGCAGGCCGGCCGAATTGTTCGCTGAAGTGTTCTGCCCAGCGATCAAGTCGTTCATCCCTATTGTGAATAGCTTGTCCAGTCTTATCACTGTTTCATAGTTCGCCGACCTCCCAAGTCAAGTCAAGATAGCACTTTATTCATCCAATGTGGACGGAATTTTCAATGAATAGAATAATATCGCTTTTGATTTGGCATACGCGCTATTACAAATGAGCTTAAAGATATGACAAATAGTCACTGAGATGATAATGAATAGGAAACGGAGAACGCGTAAAAAATAAGGAAAGTGGTAACATGGAAATTTACATCCGACTGCGTATTAGTTCGTTTGATATTCGCACCCTAGAAACCAACAACCGTGAAAGATAAGGTACAATGGAGTTGTAAAAAGCAGTGGTACCAGTATAAAAAGGTTTAAATTTATAGCGGGTGACAGAAGTTGAGATGGAGCTAGATAGGGCTGTGTAAGCGATGGGACGCATCGCGACAACACAGATGGTCCAATAGGACCTGCAATTTCCCACTGAGCCACGCCAACGGTAGCTTTTCTTTATTACACGAAGTGATTTACAGCAAAAGGGGTAAACCCCATAATCAATGATATACTGTAAGGGGAGGTATGTGGGGGAATATTCAAGTAAGAACGAATTTGTTAATCCTGTATTTGAAAAGAGTAAGGTTATAAGACCTGGGAAACACGGAAATGGGAAGAGTGTTTCACAATTTCGCAGTTCTCGGGAAAAAAGAAGATTGAAAGATAAAAGTCCGATATCTGGGGACAGAAAGAGTAGCTGGTCGCCTGAGAACGAGATGGACGAAAGAAGATCAATGGAAGGAGAACCGCTGAAGCGAGTTTGGAGGAGCAGAAACCAAAATAGTGACGATAGAAAAGAGATAACAAAGTAACTGCCCGGCTATGGGAAAGCGACTGCAAGGTGGAAGTTAAAGACGGTTCCTCAATCAGACGGATGGCTTTTACGTTAAACACCTTCGAGGAGAGAAATAGCGGAATACGAAGCTCCATACGTGACCGCGGTATTTAGGCATCGGATTGATTTGAGCTTTGTTTAAAAGGTGCTTTGGTGTAAAGAAGAGCCTTGCGCCGAATGAAAAGCCAACTTTACGCGCAGCGCGAGAGGCAAGTGTAGAGATAAAAGGGACCAACAGAGAGAAGAATTCATGGATAAACCCAGGAAGAGGAGAGAATTTGGAACAAAGGGGCAGAGAATCGAAACTCAATTGAAGTGAAAGGGAGACATCATCGGCAAAGCAGTGGATAGGATCAGATTTTTAGGACAAAAGGTCGTTGGTAAATAAGATAAAGAGGGTGGGTGAAAGTATGGAACCCTGGGGAACACCGGGGTTTACAGGAAATAGTCGAGATAGG